TACACTACTCGGTCAGGCTCTTACCAGCTTAACTACAGTTGATCGGACGGGAAACGGTGCTTTCTGGTAGATATGGCCGCAACCGATATTCAATACAAAATGAACTTGATATGTTCTCATTTCAAAAATAAGCACATAATAAGCAAAGTGTTGGGTATATTATTAAGAGTTAAGTAGACAATACATAATAGACAAAGAGTCATGTGCAAACACGTGGAGTTGAACTAGAAGGGCAATAGTAGGTATTTCTAGCTGTCTTTTTTGTTTCTCACATATATGTGGGTCTATATTTGCCTATAAAGAGGTGCGGGAGTACAAAACTTGAGTTGAAAAAAGATGGCTCCAAGGAAAGCTATTACAGAGGAAGTAGACCCATGTTAATGATTTGTTTACGATCCAATTAGTTGTAGTATAGAACTACATATATAAAGGTAGAATAAGCAAATATTAAAGCCAGTAAGGTAAGATAAACAAGAAGTAATATATAAAGAGATAATGATAAGAGGAATATGTGGATAACAGGGCTGCACATCCTATAGAAGGTATATCGATGACATGAACAATGATGAATGCAAATAGTTTTTATAGGTTTGAAAAGAGAGAAAGCAATTGATAGAGACTGTAAGAAGATGCAGTCATGCAGCAGAGAGGAAAGTAGAGTGTGTTTTGGGGGCACATATGTTTCCAGTCGGTAAATTAGAAATCTGAGAACACCAGGTGAAACTACAAACATGAATTTACTAGTACACAAAAAATCAGGCTGATCAAAGAACATTTTTTGTCAAGTCAAAAAAACGATATGTTTTTGTATGGGACAACTTTGAAGTAATATATTATTACATTTGATAAAAATCAAAAATCCTTCAAGTCTTCGAGACGAGGAAAAAAAGTTAAGACACTATCACGTGAAAGAGAACTAAAAGTTTTTCAATAGTGCACACACAGGCAGAATATTTTTGAAATTGTTCTAAGAGTTGACAAAAAACAAGTTATTTGTGTAGAAAAGAACATATTTTTTCACGCGGTGAGAACAAAGTGATGGAAGGAAAGTGAAAAAGTAAAATGGAAAAAAACTAGAGAAAAGTAGATGGGTTTAAAGTGAACAAATATTGGAAATGGTTAAAATAGCCGGGAGGTACTTCATGCGAAAGCAATTGAAGACAAGTTCGAAAGAGTTTGGAAACAAATTCGAGTAAGCTTGTGCGTTCGTATAATTATATGGCCTCGTCAATCGGTGGAGAGAGTCTCTGGGTGATCGTCAGATCTGCTCAGTCTCTATACAGCGTTTTGACATGGGCGATGATAGAGAAAAAACGATGAAAGTGAAAGTCTCTTTTGCTTTTCGTTGTTATTTCTTTGTCTTAGCCTGAACAGTCTCATCATAGACATCTTGCGATTCTATTGGTGAGCAGCGAAGGATTTGGTGGATTACTAGCTAATAGCAATCTATTTCAAAGAATTCGATTTGGGGGAATGCCTTGTTAAATAGCCGGTTTGAATTTATTTAAACTGTGATTTTTCAAGTGTAACCTCCTCTCAAGCTGACGATATTAAACTTACATCTGTGAAACATCGGGGTAATGTTTAGTGGAACTTAGCTAGAGGAACTCAAAGAGTGCTATGGTAAGGAATGGATGCGCTGGAAATGAGAGTAAAATCTTATTGACAGAAAGTATCTAAAGATTTTTTGAAATATAAAAATCCAACCTTCTATTAAGTATCTTCTAATGCAAGTGAAAACGGTTTGTGTATTTCGATCGCGAACTGTTTTTATGAGCGTTTATTAAGATAGTTATCTGGTTGATCCTGCCAGTAGTCATATGCTTGTCTCAAAGATTAAGCCATGCATGTCTAAGTATAAGCAATTTATACAGTGAAACTGCGAATGGCTCATTAAATCAGTTATCGTTTATTTGATAGTTCCTTTACTACATGGTATAACTGTGGTAATTCTAGAGCTAATACATGCTTAAAATCTCGACCCTTTGGAAGAGATGTATTTATTAGATAAAAAATCAATGTCTTCGGACTCTTTGATGATTCATAATAACTTTTCGAATCGCATGGCCTTGTGCTGGCGATGGTTCATTCAAATTTCTGCCCTATCAACTTTCGATGGTAGGATAGTGGCCTACCATGGTTTCAACGGGTAACGGGGAATAAGGGTTCGATTCCGGAGAGGGAGCCTGAGAAACGGCTACCACATCCAAGGAAGGCAGCAGGCGCGCAAATTACCCAATCCTAATTCAGGGAGGTAGTGACAATAAATAACGATACAGGGCCCATTTGGGTCTTGTAATTGGAATGAGTACAATGTAAATACCTTAACGAGGAACAATTGGAGGGCAAGTCTGGTGCCAGCAGCCGCGGTAATTCCAGCTCCAATAGCGTATATTAAAGTTGTTGCAGTTAAAAAGCTCGTAGTTGAACTTTGGGCCTGGTTGGCCGGTCCGATTTTTTCGTGTACTGGTTCCCAACCGGGCCTTTCCTTCTGGCTAAC